TGCTCGGTAGAGTATCGTACCTTCATATCTCACAGAAACCTCAAACTTGGGTTCAAGCAATTCTCCTGCCTCAGCCTCCTAAGTAGCTGGGACTTTAGGTGCCCACCTTAACGCCCGGCTATTTTTAGAGACAGGGTCTTGCTCTTGCTCTGGTTGGACTCAAACCTATGACCTCTGGCAGTGCACTCGCCTTGGCCTCCCATAGCGCTAGGATTACAGAAGTGAGCCACCTTGTCCAACATTCAATTGCTTATTTTAAAGGAAGAATTTATAGGGTTAGATCTAGGTCTCAAAACATCCCATGAACAAGCAACAAGCAACATGTATAACAGTCCCATCTTATAAAAGGGGCTCAGAGTACTAACTGTGTTCATCTCATTTCATCTACCAAAGTAAGACCAGCTTCTCTGCTCTCAGAAGGACCTACCTAAGCCTCTCCTCAGAAATAGGGGCTTATTTCTCACTGAATTATTTCCTCTCATGACTGATCCTTTTTTTTTTTGAGACAGTTTTACTATGTCACGCTCGGTAGAGTGCCATGGTGTCACAGCTCACACAATCTCAAACTCCTAGGCTTAGGTGATTCTCTTGCCTTAGCCTCCCAAGTAGCTGGGACTACAAATGCCCACCACAACACCTGGTTATTTTTTCCGTTGTTGAAGTTGTCATTGTTGTTTAGCTGACCCAGGGCAGGTTTGAACCCACCAGCCTCAGTGTATGTGGCTAATGCCCTACCCAGTGAGCTACGGGTGCCATCCTGACCAGTAGATTATTATAATTTATTTCTTTCTTTTTGAGACAGAATCTCACTTTGTCACCCTAGGTACAGTTCCATGGTGTCATAACTCACAGCAACCTGAAACTCCTGGGCTTGAACAATCCTCTTGCCTCAGCCTTCCAAGAAGCTGGGACTACAGGTACCTATCATGACACCTGGCTAGCTTTTCTATTTTTTAGTAGAGATGGGGTCTCACTCTTGCTCAGGCTGGTCTGGCATTCCTCAATTCCAGCAATTGGTCTGCCCGAGTTGTAGGATTATAGGCATGAGCCACCATGTCTGGCCTATTTTGGTTATCTTTGTTTGTGGTTTATAAGCAGGATTCAACCTGGTAAAATAATCCATCTGAGATTATTTAGGAACATTTCCATACTGGATTTATCATGAATTTGTATGCAAGAAGAATCTGTCAAAGTTTTCTATTTCACCTTCATCAACTTAACAACTGAAATCATTCCCAAGAGTACTAAAAACAACATTCCCACATTTTCCTAGAGTAGAACAATTCACAGGCCAACTAAGGGAAGAACAGTAGTTGATCTTTATTCGTACCTGCTTATATGCTGTAATATTCTTTGAACTGCTACAGTTCTGGGCTGGTCCTTCCATCTGAAATATCTGGAACACACTAGAGCTGGTGTAACAATAAGCTCCACAGTTCTCACAACAGTTCATGATGAGGTTGTTAGCAGAGTGAAACTTTGAAAAACAGGCACCACTGCAAAGACTATGTTTCACATTTTGATATTTTACTTCATACTGAATCTAGGATTAAAAACAAAAGATTCAGTAAAAACTGCTAGTTAAGGAGCATCATCAGACTCCCTTGAAAAGTAAAAAAAAAAAAAGCCCCTCCAACTTACAACAGCAGTCTTCTGACACATGCTGCACTTGGTCAGATCGCTATTAGAGCAGATGGTAACAAATGGTTTCCTTTTTTCTTCATACGATAAGAGACAAGATGGGCTGCAAAAATTTCTGCTAGAGCTAGTATCTTCCAGCTGGATAGTGATTATATCCTTTGAATTTAAAATGTCTCTAAAAAGAAATAACAATGACACCATTAAATACTTTTATCACAATTACTAATGACTACTCAGCAAAATCCTTCCGCTGCTTGATTTACCCAAACAACTCTGAAATAAGAGTAAGAACTTTAATCTTGAAATGAGAAAACCTGAATCCAGGATCTAGTTCTATCACTTATATTAAGCAACCTTGGATAAGTCATTTTTAACCACTAAGTATTAATTTCCTCCTCTATAAAGTAGGGATTACAACACATATCTCATAGTGCAAAGTTTTATAAAAGACAGGGATCTCATGTTGACCAGGCTGGCCTAAAACTCCTAGGCTCCAGGGATTCTCCCAAACTCAGTCTTCAGTGTGGTGGGGTAAACACCACCACACCTGGCTTTGATAGTACAATTTTGAAGGCTACTTAGCCTGTATTAGTGGATGCTAGTGATAACAGAGTGATGATGAGCAATCATATTCACACATAACTTTGGAATCTTTATGACAGTATGGTCTGCCAATCCTTGGGGGATTCCCCAGATACTTCCAGGGTTCCACAGGATCAAAACTATTTTCATAATAGTATTAAAAGTTATTTGCCTTTCCACTGTGGTAACATTTGAACACATGGTATAAAGGCAAGTGTGAGAAATTCCCCTCCTTGGTATACACACAAGCTCAACTCAAATGAGCACGTGCATGCTCATCAACACTACTGCTCACAACAGCCAAGAGACCGCAACAGCCCAAATGTTCATCAATGAATGAATAAATGGATAAAACAAATGGTGGTATATAAATACAGTGGAATATTAGTTAGCTATAAAAAAGAATGGAATAATACAGGATGGCAATAAAGTTTGGGTGCAATTAAAAATGCAGTTTTTGGCTTGGGACCTGTAGCTCAGTGGCTAGGGTGCCAGCCATGTACACTGGAGCTGGTGGGTTGGCTCCAGGGCAGCCAGGGCCTGCCAAACAATAATGACAACTCCAACCAAAAAAATAGCCAGGTGTTGTGGTGGGTGCCTATAGTCCCAGCTACTCGGGAGGCTGAGGCAAAAGAATCGATTAAGCCTAAAAGCTTGATGTTGCTGTGAGCTGTGATGCCACAGCACTCTTCCCAGGGTGACAAAGTGAGACTGTCTCAAAAAAAAAAAAA